ACGACGAGGTTCGAACGGGAAGTTCGAAGGTGGGCCGGGGGCATTAACACCGGCTCGTTGTAGATGTTGATCAGGCGGCGCATTTTTACCGAGGCCAATTTGCCGGGGATGAAGCTCGCGTGACGTTCTCCCGCTGCTCCATCCACGTAACCGCAGATAAAATATCACCTGCCCCGCCGAAAGCTATGGAAATTACGCTGGAATTTCGTTGGCAGCGCGCTCGCGTTCCAGTACGGTGTGTGGATCGTGGAGAACGAGCGATATGTCCTCCGAGGCGAAACGTAATTTCGAGAGGCGAACGTCTCTCCAACTTCTTGACGCGAGCTTCATGACCCTGTTTTCCACGAATTTCAACCGTTTAACCCTTCAGCGGTGAACGATGTAGCCATGTAACAACAAGTATGACTTCTTCGCGTATCGCTGTCTGATGTAAGCACATCCCTTATCGAAAGTTTTAGCGGATGCTGACAAAGTTTTCAAGAAAGTTGTAGATACTTTGGATACAACATGAATTTTGAACTGTATTCAGCTTTCAGGAAAATTGATAGTGTATTTCAGAAACGTGTGTCTATTTCTTTCTTGTAGAAGATAACTCCACTCTCTATAGAGAAGAAATAGAAAGTGCGTATCAAACGAAATAATATTTCTTCGTATCTTTTACACACTGGACTTTGAGCAATTCTCCTAACATTTGTATACACTATATAGAAAGAAAATAGCAAGTATCTAATGAAATAATATTTTTTGACGCTTTTCAAGAACCAGAGTTTGAACAGATAACAGATAACGTTCATAGATGTGTACGTACAAGGTTTAATTTAACATTTAATCGAGACCGATTATAGCTTTTCTCTAGTTGTAAGTAGAAGTATCGGAGGAGAAGCGAATTTTACTAATGCCAATAAAATGCAAGTGCAATTTGGTATTGTCCATATAAATATGTTTGCAACATTCAAAGTATGCACATAGGTAACACTTGAAAAGAACAAAGAAGCAAAAGTTTTATTTCAAAGAACATGAAATAAATATTCCGAGTTTATCTATAAATAATTCAGCACACGTTACAACGCGATGTTTCCATAAGATTTATCATTTAGAAATGGATAACGCTTAACCACCCCATCGCCAATTGATTCCAACTTAATCAACCTAAAATTAAGACAACATACAAAAATTCTACGTTAATCGTACAAGACTCTTTAACGATTTTCCTGCTATTAAACGACTCGAGCAACAAGCAAACAATCAGCCACAGATCCATTAAAATTCCGCAACGCCGGAGAACCACGATGCACAATAAGCTCTTCACTTCTCTCGATTAGAATCTGTCGGATCGTTGACTCTTCTCACGGGCCAACTCGTGCCATAAATAATGTAAACGGCGTGAAAAAAAATCAAACGCCTCTTCTTTACTCGCTTTACACATCCTACGGTGTCCCAAGTTTAATTAATCGGCCACGTTTCCATATACAAACTTCAAACAACGATTTAAACGTCAAACTCGACGCTGGAATATCGTGGAAAAGCGACGTTGAAAAGGGCGTATCGACGCCATTGACTTCGGTATGAAAAGAAGAAGCTGCAAAAGACGAGGAGATGACTCGATAAAGGCAGCGCACGATGAATCGAGTTCAAAGAGCTCGAAGATTCCGAGAGTGCGGCATATTCGCGGGTATAAAACAGCGAAACGCTTAGCATAGTAACATCGCGGGAACGGGGGCGTCATTACCGTATTGATCGCGGGGGTGGTTCCACTCACCCCTTCGCTCTACCGGTTCCCTCTTCCTCTTTTCCGCCCTCTATCTCTGTCCGTCTCTCTTTCCCATCCCCTTATGATACTCTGTTGTCGAGGATCAGCAGGGTAAGGGCCAGACCAGAAGAGATTCACAGGCGAAGAGAGGGTTGAAAGTAGGACAACGAACTTGCCGGCATAACGAGTCTCGGATCAAAGGACCAGTCTGCACGTGGAACGATCCGATAATTTGGAATCGCGCGCCATCATGCCGCTATCGATCGCCTTCGTGATGATTGTGGACGAAACATGCGCCCTCCATGATGACGCGCCCACCCTGCTGTACGCATGGGATGATTTTCGAATTATCCTTGGAATTACTCGGTCTGCGTGGTAGCCGAGAATGGTTGGTTGGAAATTTTGATTTATGTAGGTTGAAATAGGATTTGTATTATGTTAGTGGATGCGACGGTTCTTGTAATACGTTTGTGAGGATAAATAACGAGAAGTAAAATGGAAGTTGAAATGTTATTTGGGAATGCGTTATATGTGGGTCAATCTCAGCTTTTGAATGTTTAAATTAAATAAAGGATGAGAATTAACGTGGAATGATGTTTCTCTGGTACGTTCAGACAGACGATCACGGTGAAATAAGATGGAGTTTCGTGTACAATTTGAAAGTAAATAGTGCTCTGTCTATGAAAGTCGAGAAATATTCGGATTATAAATTATTATGTTTATTATTCAAAGATCAGATATTCATCGTCGAACGTGAGAATTATATTCCAAATATTTCGAACACATATTGTCTTACTTGAACATATTAGTGGCACTATCGATATTGTTAGAAAATACGACCTATGATTAATTGTAAAACAATCTGAAACCACAATAAAAACATTATGATCATACGTAGAAATTTGAATTCATTAAATACTTTGTGATAAACTAACACGCACTAAGTATTTTAAAATAATTTAAAAAGGAAGTAATCTTAATT